TTCTCTAAAACATGCTCTTTCACCTCCTTTCCTGTTTTACCGTATGCTTTCTTCTCCACTTTCTACCCTATCCCCTCCCCCCACCCTTTTGCCCCCTCATCAGGCCTTCTGACTCTTTTTGCTGCCTTTCTACTACTGCTCCTCATTGGCTCCTTCTTAGTACTGCCTTTCAGCAACACCCCTGATCTTAGGAGTTGGTAAGACCGAACACCTATCCTTCTCTGATAAAGGCCAAAAAATCTCAGAGGTCTTGAGATAAGAGTAGACTCCGGCCGCTTCCCGAGAAAAGTGCCAAAATAATTCTACCAAACTGAAAACGCATAATGTGCCCCGCGTGCTCATATGACTTTATGCATTTGCGAGCGCCGTAAAGCACTTACTAAAAGAACACCACAATAAAACCCCAACGCCCTCGGCCAAACCGTTGCCACTGGCATCCGTGGAATATGGGTTAGACCTAAGTACCAGGGCTTTGCTTGGTAAAATCGGAAGTTAAATTCCACTTTGAGGGAAATATAGTCGAACCTGCTGTAACAACCGTCTGTCCAAGACAACCACCTGTCCAAGACAATCACCCGTCCAAGACAATCACCCGTCCAAGACAATCACCTGTACCAAACAACCACCTGTCCAAGACAATCTCCTGTACATGACAATCACCTGTCCACACAATCGCGTGTACAAGAGAATCGCCTGTACAAGACAATCACCTGTGCAAAGCAACCACCTGTCCTGCAGAATCACCTGTACAAGAACAGACAGATATAGAAATTCGTTCGTATCAACTGCACTGAGATTACTGAGCACTTACTTTACTTTTACTTTTTTCTTCCGCTTGTACCGGTGGGTGTCGCAGGGAGATACAGGCGTCTGTGAAGTACTATCAAGTTGTAGGAGGGACATTCCGAGAGCTCTGAGGGTGTCTGCCACATATTCACTCCAGCGTCGCCTTGGTCTTACTCGGGCTCTCCAGCCAGAATATGTGATGTTGTATGCTCAGATCCTAACATCCCCATTGAGACCGAAGCCAAGCTCATTAACTCTATCTTCATCCCCACTTTGACCTATCAGTGCCAGACTTGGACCCTGACCAAATGTCTGGAATATAAGACAACGAGATGAGATGTCTAAGGAGAGCCGTCAACAAAACCAGACGGTACATGGTCAGAAACAAGATCAGAGAAATTATGGGAACAACACCTGTCCTCCACTACATCCGAAGGCAAAAAATCAGGTGGCTTCGACAGCTCACACGTATGGCACCTCACCTGCTTGCCAGTAAAGCCTACTTCAAAAAAGTGTCAGGGTATAAGGCAAGAGGAAGGCCAAGAAAGACATGGATCTACGGTATGAAGCTTACCCTGAGAACATACAATAGCCCACCCAGCCAGACCATCAAACTTGCAAGAGACAGGGAGCTCTTTCTCCCCTCGACGCCCTAAAGGTACAAGAAGACGGATAAAGTAAAGTAAAGTAAGTAAGCTCAAAGCTGGTTGGTTTGAGGGTATCTGTTCGAGGTGTCCGAACAACTTGATCTTTTGTCTCTCAGTGTGTGGTAGGACTGGTGTTGCTCCTACCATATCTCTTATAATGTTATTTGTTATCTTGTCTCGTCTTGTCTTGTCTACCGCTCTTCTTAGACTTAGACATTTCATTTCGCATGTAACCAGCTTCCTCGGGAGGGCTTTTGTTAGGAACCATGTCTGGCACTGATATGTGAGCGTTGGTAGGAAAATGGGCGTTGATGAGCTTCGCCTTGGTGCTCATGGGGATACTGGGATCTTTCAGGAGAGTTGATAGCTGACTGCATTGGCTTTCTGGCATCCAGTCTCTATTTCTCAGTATAATTTGTCACTTTTTGTGAAAATGCTGCCCAAGTATTTGAATTCGCTGCTTTGTTTCAGTTGGAATGTTTTGATGTTGATATCCACTTTGTCCGGTCTCCTGCTGTCATGACCTCGGTCTTCTAATCATATTTCTTGCTGCTCGCGTTCCGTTGGTCCATAATAATTATGTTCCTGTAGTTGATATTTGTTGTTCGTCATATCCAGGTCGTCTGCAAACATGAGTTCGTTGAGAGACTCTATGTTTGGGTTGGCCTCCTTTTTGTTTATTTGGTCCATGTAGATCACGAACAGCAGAGGGGTGAGATTGCAGCCCTGCCTGACTCCGGATGTTACTGATTATTAAGCACACAGTGCACAAATTATGAAAGAGAGAGAGAGAGAGAGAGAGAGA